CCGACAGGAGGTCCCGGTTCCTGGTTTTGATTTTTTTTTTCATGGTAAAGACTGCTTTATTGGTGACAGTTAGTGCAAGCCAATAGTGATCCCCAAAGAAGAGCTCTTTGATCAGATTACTGGTTTTGATTTGTTGCAGCTGCGTCTCCAGCTCAGCTTCATGTTCTCGGCTCCCTTCTTGGAATTCTCGCAGCTCTTCTTGAGTGTTCTCCGCCCTCTGCTTGTAGGTCGTGGCCAGGTCTTTCCAGTAGTGAGTGTCTTCCTCCTCAGAGCTGAAGGCTGTCTTTCCAGAGCCCGCCATCGTGAGGCAGGGAAGAGACCTACTCTTCTTGTGGCATGGTGTTGCTGTTGAGCAGGAAATAACTCATGCTGACGCTCTGGTGGATTTTCAGAGGCTGTGAATTGCCTTTCTTCTGCAGGGTTAATGGTGGATTTGAACTCCCAGAGAAGTACAGCCTTCGGGTTAGCGGTGCAGCTCCTTGGGGACTGCACAACTGAAGTCCCCTTACTGCTGGCAAACTCACAGCCCGGCGGAGGCGTGGCCCCATACAGGAACTTTTAACTGCAGGAAATGGCATTTTTAGGGGAAGAACACCACCATTGGTCCACTGTGGAGACTTGGTATACATTGAAATCTGCAAGTCCTAACCACAGTAGAATTAGACATCAGCTTAGCTTTTGATTGTTGAGATAATATGGAAGGTGTTCTGGAAATTCCTTTACAATGGATTCTTTCTTTTTACACGCTATGTGCTGGGGATTTACAAGGTTAACCCACATTGACCCTCCACAGCCTGTTTAAGCATTTCAATATTGCATTTGAATTCATGTTGGCCCATGCATTTTCTGTCTTGGTTGCCTCACTAAAATACATCTGCTCTATGATAATCATAGTTAACCAAGTAGAGTTGCACAGCTCTTATGTCTGTATGACGCGTTTGCTTCTGTATGAATGTCATCATGTATGTAGATCTAAAAGAGAAATCACAAAGTGATGGGAGGTTTCTTTACATCGGCCACTAGAGGTTCGTCGAATCTTTTAGATCTGGAGCCGTGTTGTCACTTGTTGGATAGATGATACTAAAGGAGAACTCTGTGACCTTAGGAGCCATATGATTTCCTTATTCTCTTTTTCTATTGCTTCACTAGAAATTTCATGTATTTCTATGACCTTCAACTGGGAATTCATTAAAACTGCCCAAAAGTCATCTAATCTCCAGAGAACTAACATTGATGCTATGACATTGCTGTCCCTTAATCTTCCTTTTAATGTGACTGATTTATGATTGGTTATTAATTGAACAGGAGCACACAAAACGTCATGATCTGAACTTCAGGTAGCATCTGTCACTATTCGAATCATCTGCCAATTTACTTTTTTTAACTGAAATTTTATTTAAAGTTTATATAGAGACTCTGAATTTTCATTAATTCATTGTTGCATATTTTTCTCCCTGCCCACCCCTCCCACCAGTTGGTTTTTCTCTTTGAAAAGTTAAAAAAAAAAAGGTGTTTGTTGTTGTTATGTGCCATCGCGTCACCTGCAACTTATAGCAACCCAATGTACAACAGCCCTAAACCCTGTTCCATCCTGTCAATTTCACTGTCTCTGACACAACCAACCCCATTACTCCAGTCACTCAATCAATATCATAGAGGGTTTTTCTCTCCTGCGCTGTCCCTCCACCCTCCTAAGCATGACATCCCTCTCCAAGCACTGGTCCCTCCTTGCAACATGTCCAAAGTATATCAGACGAAGCTTCAAAATCCTTGCCTCCAAGGAGCAGCCTGGTTTAACCCTCTATAGGGTGAACCTGAATGTTCTCTTAGAAGTCCATGGTCTATTCAATACTCTTCTCCAACACCATAGCTCAAAGGCATCAACTGTCCTTCTATCATCCCTAGTCATTGTCCAGCTCTCTGAGGCATAGCAAGTGACTGCAAAGACCACAATCTATATCAGGAACACCTTAGTTTCCAGAGTGACATCATTGCTCTTCAGTACTTTGGAGAGGTCTCTAACAGCCGACTTTCCCATCACAATGTGTCTTTTAATTTCCTGGCTGTGGTGCCAAGAGTGTTGACTGTGGAGCCAAGCAAACTAAAGCTCAATCTCAATCTGTTCACCATCTATCAGAATGCTGCCAATTGAGCCAGTGGTGAGAATCTTTGTTTTCTTGATATTGAGTCTCAATCCATGAAGTCCTTGACCTTTTGCAACAAATAATTTCATTATTATACAATGCCCCCACCCTTCCAGTCCACTCCATCATGCAGCTCTCATTCTGGACTCCTGTCATGAAAATAATACCTAATCATATATTCCTTTCAAACAGTTCTCTCCCTCATCTATTTCAATGTAGTATACATTATTTACCCCTCTTTTCTTACATCTCCCTAACCCCTATGTCAGTCCTGCTTTACAGGAGTGGTATTATGCAGTATTTGTCCCTTTGTGACTGAAATATTGCACTCAGCATAATGTCCTCCAGGGTCACCCATTTTGTAGAATATTTTTATGAGTTCCTTGTTTTTCAGTGCAGCATAGTATTCCATTGTTATGAATATACCACAACTCCTCTATCCATTAGTTTGTTGATGGGCACCTGGGTTGTTTCCAACTCTTTGCTATTGTGAACAAAGCCACAATAAACATGGGTAGGCATATATCTGCTTGAGTGGCTGTTATGGTTTCTTTAGGATATATTCCCAGTAGTGGAATTGCTGGGTCAAATGGTATTTCAATTTCCAACTTTTTGAGAAAGCACCATACTGCCTTCCATAGTGGTTGCACCATTTTACACTCCCACCAACAGTGAATAAGGGTTCCAAGTTCACCACAACTTCGCCAGCATTTGTTGTTTACTGTTCTGTTAAATTTTGCCAATCTTACTGGGGTGAGATCATATTATTCTGATTTGCATCTCTCTTAGAGCTAGGGATTTTGAACACTTCTTCATGTGTTTGTCTGCCATCTGAATGTCTTCTTTGGTAATGTGTCTGTTCCTATCCTCTGTCCATTTTGCAACTGGGTTCTTTACCTTTATCTTGTTGTGGTGCTTGAGTATTCTATAAATTCTAGATATAAGTTCCTTATCAGACATGTCATTACAAAATATTTTTTTTCCCAGTCTTTTTACCCTGTTGGAGAAAGTTTTGGATGTGCATAAGGATTTTATTCTTAGAAGAAGCCACTCATCTATTTTATCTTCTCCTGGTTGTAGGGCCAATTTATTTCTTTAAAAATTAAAACATCTTATCTATGAATCTTGAATACGAGTCCATTTTATATCTTTATGTTCCCAGTCTGAATTTACACTATAAATCAGTAGCTGGAAAAGTTCAAAAGATGTATTTTCAGGTTTTGCTCCAGGTCAGAAAATAACGGAATTAACAGAAATAGTAATGCCCTCAACTGCTTTTCAGCAAAGTCATATTTAGTCTTTTTAAACTTTCAAACTTGCACTGCAATGGCAGATGGTTCGAATCTACCAGCTGCTCTATGAGTGAAAGAGACAATCTCCTTTTTTGTAGTTTAGGAGATAAAATCTTTTGGTTAGCTATGAGTGTGTTCCCACTCAACAGCACACAATTACACCACCACCACTCACTATTGTTATTTTAATGAATGTTTTCTGTGATTGAGCTGAATTAAATGGGAACTTTACCCTATTCTATGTCATCCCCATGATCTTTGATCTGACTTATTTGAGCTCATTGCTAACAGTCAACTGTATCAATTTATCTCGTGGAGGGTCTTTTTTTTTGGATGATGTCTTTTTGCAAGGATGGTCTCATGACAATACGCCTGAAGTTTACAAGAGAAATTTTCACCATCCTTGCCTCCAAGGAACACACTGGTTCCACTTCTTTTCACACATGTAGTCAACATTTTATAAAAATATAGCTTTATTGTGTGTCAATGATCTTGTACTACACCGACATCTCACCAAATACATTCAGCCTTCATATTAAACATAAATTAAACAAAGAATCTATAAATAAATCAGGAAAACTACTAGAAAAGCCCTCCAAATCATGATGATTAAAAATATACTACATGATGATAAAATTGCTTTTAATGACTTTACTCTGCAAATTATTAACTGTAACCAAATATAAATGTTTCTTTTCAAGATGGAATAAAGGACAAAATGACACAGAATCAAACAAGGGTAGGTTTCTTAACTCTGCAGGTAAGTCACCTCCACCTCAAAGGCAACCCCAGTTGAGCACAGATGTAAGAGCTGGTAGAATCACTTGATTTCCAGAGGATCCAAAAATGAAGAAAATATCTACTGTGTCCCCAATCCAATTTCCAGAGTCCTAAATAAAAATCAATTACTGAAAGATAATAAAGGCTTAAAGTATTTCCTGAATATTCACAGCTGTGGCAACATATAGGAACCCAGGTGTTTGCTGGCCTGCTTCATGAAAGGTCAGCAGTTCGCATACACCAGCTGCTCTGTGAGAGAAAAGAGGAAACATTTGCTGTGAAGCTTCACAGCTTTGGTAATCTGATGGCTGGAATCAACTGGATGGAACTGGGTTTGGGCAACACATATATACACAAAAACTGGAAAACACTTGCTGAATATCAAAATAGATTTTTCCAAAACTTAACCTCAAAAGCTAGTACTAGCATTACATACTCACACTGGGTGTGGCCGAGAGACACACGGTTCTCAGGTCTCTTCCAGTTTTCTCTCATAGGAGATGTCCCAAAGCAGAGGGAACCTGTGACTTCCAAGTCTTCACAACCTTCTTGAGGGCTACAGTAACGTAAACAACTTATGGGGTCGTGCAGAGAATTCTCCAAGGCCTAAACCCACAAGCGGCAAATTTCGGCCCAAATAGCTTCTGTTTCTTGTGGGGAAATAGTCCCTCCCCAACAGTTCATAAATTAAAGGATAAACCCTCTCATTAAAGTTGGAGAAAACCTGCAAAGCAGTCACAATCACTTCCCAAAAGCACACATGAAGACAGATCCCACAGTGGGGTCAATTACGAGACTCTGAAGCCGTGGTGGGGCTCCGAACTGTGGACATAAGATGAGACTTGTAGGTTTTGCTCAAGCCTGTCATCCAAAACTTCAGTAGCTTGACGTTGTCTTCCTCTGATGCTCCAAGGATACTCAGGAGTTTCTGTGTGTCCTCTTTTGGGCGGCTATCCACTTTGGTGAACTTAAAAAGGACCTTCACTTTGCTGTAGAAAATAAAAACCAGAACAGATACCGCGGTACAATCTGAAAGAATTCTGGTCACTGGGGGTTTACGACTAATAGAAGTTCTGTGCGTGGAACTGGAATTCTCAAAATTAACAGTTTCATTTTCCTATCACACCTAATCCTGGGCAAGAAAACCAAAGCAACAAGGAAAACACCCCAAAACCCACCTATTCACCTTCAATTCCTGGAAGGGATTGGTTACTCCTAAGTTTCACTTTCTTAGATGAAATCAAGATGTTTGACTACTAAACATGTGGGGGAAAATGAACTAAAATAAACACCCAAACTCTGTAATAGCATGAAAACATATTATTGTGCTGATGAACCCTTGTGTCCACCCCTTAAAACGCTGCTCTCATTCTACTGCTCCAAATTATTTCAAGCTAACTAGGGAAAAATAGCCAACTCAGTCTTGCCTTTAATAAAGAAGGACATTTTGTCTTTCTGATGTTTAAAGTCAATTAAGCAAAAAACAAGAGTTTCCATTAGAGGACACCTCTTGTATGCACTTAGTGTCCTTACCTGACACTCAACAACCTTCAGAGCTAGATACAGGTTCCCCTTTTCAGGGGAGCCACCTCAGACTCAGGTACAGTGTTACCTGCAAGGACAGATTCTGAGAGGGAAAGGGTAAGTCCTTACTTCATCCACTCTTCCTTAAGGCAGACAAGGCACTGGTCAACGACATCCACAGACAGATTCTGATTAGTTAGAGCTGCTTCGATCTTATTCAGGATGGTAGGGCCAACTGGAAACAGGGGTGAAGGTAAAGCAAGAATGATGTCATCACAGGAAAGGTGCAGGCTACCTTTCCTTCCAGGCCTGAGTACCTCCTTAGTGGTACTCACCTCGGTCTACAGACACAGGGCTCCCACTAGTCACCACAAACTCATACTTGCTGAGAGCTTGGTCCTCCTCAGGCCCCATTGGGTAGAGGCTGGAGTGGGGGATTGTGTGGGCCTCCACAATAACAGCAAATTCTGCAACAGCATGAAAACACATCGTTGCAATAAATGCCCCTTGTCTCCATCCTTAAAATGCTGCTCTCATTCTACTTCTCCAAATTATTTCAAGCTAACAGGGGAAAAATAGCCAAGCTAGTCTTCTGAGATAAATTATTTTGACACTTTAAAATCTTTCATATTTTATTTGTGAATTTTCATTCCAGTTAAACTATTAATGATATTACAATAAATAATAATCACTTTATAAACCTTTCAGACCTACGAGATTGATTTTCCACTATTACTCTCCCTTTACACAAGGAAACTGATACAGAGAAATGACTTGTGCAGTCACACAGCTGGTGGTGGGTACCAAGGTCTGCCCTGACTCTGGTTTCATAGCATTCCCAACACTCTCAGGAAAAGTCACTCCTCCACGAGTCTTGTGTCCAAGCAGGTGAGCCCAGGTCTGACCGCAGAGGGATCAACACACAAGCATGCCCACAATCTATGCCCATCCCCTAAACCAAAAGTGAGGAGTGACTAACTCCCTGTTCTCTGCTATAGATGAGGAAGCTCATCAGCAATAGGCCACAATGGACAAGCCCAACTACATCACTCAATACTGAAGTAAAGAACAGACTAAAAAAAAAAAAAAGAACAGACTCAAAGTAAATCTTTTCTCCATAATCTTTGATTTCAGTTTGTCTCTGTCCTTGTGTCTCATGTGTGTCTCTTTTACCCAGCATATTGATGTTTTTTTATCCATTCTGCTACCTGACTGGTGCATTTAATCCCTTCACATTCTATGACAGGTTATTATTTACAGGTACGGCTTCATTGTCATTTTGGTGCACACTGTTTTATGGTGTTGCTGATTTCTTTGTTCCATCTCCTGTGCTAATTTTGTTGAGAACGTTTCTTAGAATTCTTTCATTTTTGTTATTTTAGTGTTTATTGTCATTATATTTATTATTTTCCATTTTTATGAGAAAGTTTATTAATATTCCTAGAGGCAGATTGAAAATACATGAAAGAAAAGCACAGAGAAGAAAGAAGTACAACAGGAACATAAAGAGTGAACAAGAAGGCTGTGTTTACAAAAGGTACAGAGAAGACACATGAGCCCTTCTGACGCACTGGGAAGGCCAGGTGATAGCACTAAGCAGTTCATCCACGCACTTCCTCCCACACCCTAGTGTGCAACCTTTATGCTACTGAGAAGTACAACCCCAGCAAGCCCCTTCTTTCTGGCCACACGGTTCAGACACCCCAGTCCCTACTTTAAAGGTAGAAAACAGGAGCCATGAGAGAACATGAGATACTCACACTCCAGTTCAACTCTCACTGGCAGGTGGAAAATCTGAGTCTGGAACTTCAATCACCCTGCCTAGCAGGCATCCCCTTCACCCATGGCTAGAACCTCACTTCAATTCTGAGGCTTAATGTCTATGATCATACATACCTGAGGATAGCACATGAGAGGGGATCTGCACCTGTGGACTGAGCCCCAGGAAGTTGCAACGATATGCTTCCTCATATTGGTTGCTGTAAGGGATGATACGAACACAGCCCACAGGCAGCATGGTCTAGAGAAGACAAGAATGACTCAGAACCAACAGGCAAAGTATTTCCATTCACCACTATCTATCTCCAAATCCCTCAGTCCTTCCTCCCCCAAGGCTTCTCTGGCCTCCATCCCAGAGGGAAACCTCCCTCCCCAATGGTCAAGTCTCTTTTCAGCACTGATCACACATAGTCTGTGCTCAGTGATATGAATTCCTATTGTTTGCTGACGTCAGGTTTTCTCCATCCACAGAGATTGTACATGTGTGGAGAGATAGTGTCACAATCATTTTTGTACTCTAACAAGCCTAGACATGTAGATAAGCACTTTCCATTGATCTAAATGTTATTCAGAGCCTTGGCTCTTCTCCACTTTCCCTGTGGCATGTTACAACTGCATCCCACCACCTATTCATCACAAAGAATCCAAGAAATGGGATGATCTGGCCTACTCTGATGGTGTCAGAAACCTTTCAATTGGCCTCCCTAGGGAATTCAGGGGAAAACTAGGCTGTTAGTTATCTATATATAGTTCCTTTCACCAGAAAGAAAAACCACCAATCACCACAATCTTTAATAGTGCAGAAAAACATAGGAGGTCTAGCTTAGATTAAATCACGAACTTTTTCAAGAAGTTTTGCATTCATAGTCAAAGTCAGATTTCTTTTAATATGCAAACACTGTCCTGCTATAAAACATTAATGGGGGAAAAGATACTCTTACCCGAAGAATTTCAAATGCTGACTGGACAAGGTCCATGTCTCTACTCTTCCAGATAACCTGATTCCCCATGAGAACATGCCAGGCCAGTATGTGGAAAGACGAAGCACCTAGGACCTAAGAAAGATAACTCAGTGCTTGCTGCATGATGAAGAGAAACATTTTCCTCCTTCCAACTGAAGTTATTCTTTTCCTGTGTTCTTCTAGGAACTTCTTTTGTATAGTCAACAGGAGATGGGGTCAGGAGAAAGCAAGCAATTTATCTTCTCCAAGAATTGTTGACTTACCTGAAGACAAAAACGTAGATGGTGAGAAGTCTCGGGATTTGTACCTAAAAACTTGATTCTAAAGCTCTCACACATAGGAATGTCTTTCTTACCAATTTTACTTTTGAAGCAAAGTTGTTAGCGTTTTGAAAGATTCAGCCTCTGTCTGGGAACATATCTATTTTTCTGGACTATTTGAAAGTCAGCTGTAGACATCACGACACTGGGTAAGTACAAAGGCCTTTCCTGAACACCCCTGATGTGCATGACTACTGGTGGAGATGCAATACTGATTTCATAGCATCTGATATTCAGTCCCATTCTAGAGATAAGCCTCTGAACAATGCCCTTGACAGCTAAGATTCTGTGACCCAAGATTTCCATGAAGTATCATGCCTATTTTCGGCTGTCTTGTTTTTATTCTTCTTTAACATAGAACAACCCTTCTCCTCATTCCGTGTCTTACTAACATCTATGACACCAGCATTTTTGAAGAGGCCAGACTAGGTAGTTTTCAAAAGTAACAAAATACCACATTTTTCAAAATACCAAAAGCTTTCAACTACTTTCCACCTTTTATAGAATTCAAGATTCCTTCCAAGCTTAATCCAAGAAAACACTTAAAGATGATTTCTAAGTATTTTCATATGTGAATGTTTTCCTTTCAGAAGCTCTAGTCTTAACTTCATTTTCCAAATCTAAAACAGATCTAACCTTCCAATAAAATGAATATTCATTTTCAAAATTCATTTTCAAAATACTGAACGTGTTATTTTTTAGAAAGGGAAAACTGCTTTCATAACTTTACTGTGTCCTTCTCTCATCTGGCTCAAAAAACTATAGTCTGGACTGCTTTAAATGTGTGGATACCTCGGATCGTGATGGTTACGGCACGTATGTACAGCAAACCTGCATCTCATGTATTTTCAGGCAGCCAAAGTGTGGACATTCCATAATGAACATCTTACCTCTTCTCCCATGGAGTCACTGGGTGGGGTCAAACTGCGATCTTTCAGTTAACAGCTGAATGCTAAAACCACTGCATCACTAGGGTCCCTAAACCAGTAATGCTATGATTCAGTACCGTTAGAAGGTTCTAGAAAGACAAGATTAGAAAGGACCATGAGAAGCTAACTATCAGGCCTTTTCTCTGAAGGATGACACATCTTCACACATGGTGACCTGTGCTTAAAATGCCCCAGAGACTTCTCTCTTTCAGCCTCAATCAAAAGGCTCTTTGTTAGCCCTAACCACATGTTGAGATGCGCGGTTAAGAGTAAAGGACTTTTTGCCTGTCAGTTTGCTGTACTAGGGTAACTTGTAGGTTGCTCTGATTCAGAAGCATCATGTCATGTGCCAAAAGAGTCACCCATTTTTTTTTTAGCGTCACCCATCTTGACAGATTAAGGCCAACTAGGAAGCAGCACTGGCCCTCCACTTTTGAAATAACAGACCTCTGAAAACCCTATGAACTACAGAGGAACACAGGTAGCTGTAATATTAGATAGAAAGATTAGAAGTCAATGAAAATGAGGAGAAACACCTGTAAATATCCTTTAATAACTGGAATTTGTAGGGTGCCAAGTATGAATATAAGAAAACTAACAGTTGTAAAAAATGAAACTGAATACATGAATATCAACATTCTAGGCATTAGTGAGATGAGATGGATTGGCACTGGCCTCTCTGAATCAGACAATCACATGATCTACTAGGCTGCGAATGAAAAACTGAAGAAGAATGGTATTGTGTTCAAAGTTAAAGAGACAATTTTGGCCTTCTCTCTACATACCCCTCTACATATATCCTTTCATATAGGAGGTCAGTCCCTTTGGGGATATAACCTTCAAATAAATCTATCTTTACTATTTTACCTTAAAAAAAAAAGGCAATTTCAGGGAGCTCTGGTGGCCTAGTGGCAAGAAGCTGTACTGCAATCCTGAAGGTGCATGGTTCAAATCCACCACATGCTCCACTGGAGAAGGTGGGGCAATCTCTTCCTGTGCCAGCTGGATCTGACTCGATAGTACACAAGAGAAAAAACAAACTAAAATCCCAAAAATAGACAGTTTCAAGTTCTATTATGAAGAAAAATGAAATGTTGTGTGTGACAGGTTACTATCCATATGTGTACAAGGAAGACCTGTTAATATGATTATTACTCAAATATATGCACCAATAGCTAAAGCCAAAGAGGATGAAATTGAGGATTTTTTTCCAAATTGTGCAGTGTGAAATCCACCAAACGTGCACTCAAGATGCATTAATGATAGTTGGTGATGGGAATGGAAAAGTTGGAAACAATGAAGAAGGAATGATAATTGAAAACTATGGACTTGGTGAAGAAATGAGGCTGGAAACGGAATGATAAAATTTTGTATGCTTAAAGATTTACTCAATGCAAATACCTTTTTAAAAAAACACAGACGGTGACTTTACACATGGACCTCACCTGATGGACTGCACAGGAATCAGACTGACTACATGTGTGGAAGGAATCATTAGAAAAGCTCAATATCAGCAGTCAAAACCAGGCCAGGTGCTGACTGTGGTACAGTTCATCAATTACTCATGTGCAAGTTTAAACTGAGGCTGTAAAAAATGAAAACAAGTCTACAAGAGCCAAAATTCGACTCTCAGTCTATCCCACCTAAATTTAAGTATCATCTTAAGAATAGGGTGGTTTTTTTTAAAAAAAAAGAATAGTTTTGAGGCATTGAACACCAATGATCAAAACCCAAATGAATTGAGAGAGTAAGAGGTCATTACAGAGGAAAAGGATTAACGGATGTAAGAATAAAGTCTGGAAATTGCACTAGAGCATTGAAAAGTCAAAACAAAGGGAAGAGATGCCAAAGTAAACAGTTAAACAGAAGATTTCAAAGGCCAGCTTGAGAAGACAAAGCCAAGTATGATAAAGGAATATGCAGAGAGCTGGAATTGGAATATAAAAAGGGAAAAACTCACTCACCATTTCTCAAGCCAAAAGGCCAGAAAAAAACCCCAAATTTAAGCCTTGAGTTCCAATACTGAAAGACACTATGTACAAAATCTTAAATGATCCAGGAAGCATCAAAAGAAGATAGAGGTAATACACAGATATTGTACCAAAATGAACTTGTTGACACTGAAATGAACTGTTTGACACCGAAGTACTTCAGAAAGTACCATATGATCAAGAACCAGAGGTAATAAAAGAACAAATTCAAGCTGCAGTGAAGGCACTGGCAAAAAATAAGGCCCTGGGAATCGATGGGACACCAATTTACATGTTCCAACATGTAGCCTTGATATGCTTACCAGAAAATTTGAAGGACAGCTGCTTGGTTGACTGACTGGAAGAGATTCGTATTTGTTCCCATTCCCAAGAAAGGTGACCTAAGAGAATGTGGAAATTAATCTGCAGCCCTCTGACCCGTTTTAATTGTTTTTTTGGTCAAACATTCTTTTAAGTAGTATAGCACTGGTCTGTCCATTTGCAGTACAGAGGTACCTCGTGGCTGCTGTGATGCTAAATACTATGACACTGATGTGTCAAACGTGATAATGTTTACCCATGGTGGACAGTGTTTGGTGGAGCTCCCCGATTAAAACAAGATTGGAAGCAGAAGTGGCAATCCACTTCTGAAATAGCTTGCCTCTGGAAACTCTATGAACTTGGGAGAAATGATGGAAGTTATACAAGTGTTCAGGTCTTTTGTTCATAGGGTCACTATGAGTTGTCTACAACTTGACGGCACTTAACAACACCAAAACATCACTACATGCAAGCAAAATATTGCTTCTGAAGATTATCCAAAAATTGGCCAGAACCATACATTGACAGAGAACTGACAAACGTGCAAACTGAGTTTAGAAAAGGCTGTGGCATTGCAGATATTCACTGCTGATAACAGATGGATCTTGGTTGAAAACAGAATACAGAAGAATGTCTATTTTTGCTTCATTGACTACGAAAAAGTATTTGACTGTGTAGATCATAACATATGATGGCTAACATTGAGAAGAATGAGAATCCTAAAATATTTAATTGTGCTCATGTGAAACTTCTGCCTAAACCAAGAAGCCATTGTCTGAACAGAGCAAGGGAACATACTGCATGATTTAAAATTAAGAAAGGTGTGTGTCAGGGCTGTGTCTTTTCTGCATATCTTTTCAGTTTGTATGCTAAGCAAATCATTCAAGAAGCTGGACTCTTAAGAAGAAGTTCAGAGGAAGATACAAGAGCAACCTGTGTTATGCAGACGATACAACCTTGCCTACTTAAAGTAAGGACTTGAAGCACTTGCTACAGAAGATCAAAGACAACAGCCTTCAATATGGATTGCAATTCAACAACAAAGAAAGATAAAATCTCACCACTGGACAGATAGGTAAATTTAAGATAGATGGAGAAAAGATTTAAATTGTCAATGGTTTCATTTAACTTGGATCCACAAACAACACCCTTGGTACCAGCAGTCAGGAGATCGAGAGACATATTCCACTGGGAAAATCTGCATTCAAGTACCTCTCCAAATTACTGAGAAGCAATGATGTCAGTTTGAAGACGACAGTGTGCCTGATTCGGGCATGGTCTTTTCGGTTACTTGCTATGTATTTGATAGCTGTACAATGACTAAGTACGACAGAAGAAAAATTGATGTCCTTGAGCTGTGATGCTGGAGAAGAGTAATGAATATTCAGTGGACAGCTAAAAGAACAGATACATAGGTCTTGGAGGAAGTGCAGTCAGAATACTCCTTGCAGGCAAAGATGACAAATCTTTAACTCACATACTTTGGGCATGTTGTTAGGAGAGGCTATTCTTTGGAAAGGGACACCATGCTTGCAAAGGTGGAGGGTCAGTGAAAGAGCAGGAGATCTTCAACCAGATGGACTGACGAAGTGACTGCAACAATGGGCTCAAGTAAGTTGGAAGTGCTGAGGATGGCACAGGATAGGACAGGGTTCAATCTGTTGTTTACAGGTTGTTCATGAGTTGTACTGGATGGTACCTACCAACAACAAACCCCCTGCAATTAGGTTTTTAAATCAATGGGCTCATCGATGAAATATGAAATAAATAGGAATAAAAACTAGATGGAGATGAGCTAGAAGGAGAAGACTGAGTTCTTTTGAGTTCCTGAAAGGGTATTTATTACTCCTCTGCCACCTACCTGTCTCATATGTCGAAGGGACTTAAAGACTGACAACTTTAGGGGTTGCCAATTTCCACAGTCTGAGAGTAAGGACAAGTCTGCTGGGTATTTATTTAACTCTCGTACTTCTGCACCATCAGGGAACACAAAGGCCTTCTCTTCAGATTCAGGGTTTTCCCAGCTTTCTGATTCCTCTTCTAAGTCTGCAAGCCAGATAACAGTATTATTATCCCCATTCTACAGATGAAGAAATCTTAGTTATTTTCTATCATCTTCACCTCTACAAGTAAGCATATCCTCATTTCACATCACAAATGAGACACCTGGCCCAAAGAGAAGGACCTCACTTGCATACTGCCAGCGTCTGTTGAAGCTGTTAAACTCCAGAGTCTGGCTCCAAACCCCAACTTGGACTTTCTTCAATATCAAAACACACTTGGACATTTCTATATTTCCTAAAAGCTCTAAGAGACTCAAATGACCAAAAAAACTATTTCAACTAGCCTAGCAATTTTTGTTTGTTGCAATTATTACAGTAAGGAGTGATCCTAGGTTAAACAGCCCATGAAGATGTGATAGTGGAATATGCGGTTTCCCCTTCTGTGAGTCTAGTCCTTGCTTAAATGCAATCACATCCTATAGCATGGTAGTGCATTATTCAGAAGTACTTGATAAGTCTGACTTACTGAACCCTATAGCTGAGGCACATGGACCTAGATAATGAAAAATCAAATCACCCTGAAGAAAGCACTTAGAACTCAAGTCGGAGGGTCCTGGACCTGTGTCACGGGGAGGTATAATCCAGTGCCTAGCAAGTGCCTTACCAGGGTGCTGAATACCAAACAGGATTTGACTTTCTGATGCATAAAGCTGGAATGGGATGGGTTTGACAATCAATCTTCTTAATAGAAAACTTGGATTCAGCTAAAGTATGACATTGTTTCTGTTAAATGGCAAAGAATAAGGGCCTATTTGCAATGGTCAATTTGGCTACTTGACTAAAATAAGAATAAAGAAATCTTTCTATACTTGCTTTCATAGACAGACAAACCTAATATCGGATTTTCCCACCTGCAAGACACTCTAACATGTCAAGATGAATGAGACAGGGATTAATAAGAAAAATATCAAGAGCAGAGCCACAGTGCAAGAGTCCCTCTTGCAGGACAGGTCTGAGTTTGCTGGTTGTGCGATTGTGAAGTCACCATAAACATGGTGAAGACTCTGAGTACCTGCTCACCACAGGAAGGTTTCTGCACAAGGCCCTGCACACTTGCACACCTTACCTGCAAGCTTCTCCATCTGGACCAGTGTGTCCTCAGTTGGTGCACCTTCCAGCAGCTTCTCCGTCAGCCGGCTGCCACATGCTTTCAAGAGCCTGCAAGGCAGAGTCACGTGCTTAAATGTTATTGTCCAAACAAAAACTGAACCTCAAATGAACCAATCTTCTTAGTCTATTTGTCAATTTACAGGAACTATGGGTCAATTGACAGCATCATGATAAACAGTAAAGAGACTGAGAGTGTTAACAGCTTTAGTTTGCTTGGCTCCACAATCAACACTCTTGGTACCAGCAGGCAGGAAGTTAAACGACGAACTGCATTGGGAAAGTCTGCTGTTAGAGACCTTCCAGAGCACTAAAGTGCCATGATATCAGTCTGGAGACTAAGGTGCACCTGATCCAGGCCATGGTCTTCACAATTACGTGCTATGCATCAGAAAGCTGGACAAGGCCTAGGGATGCCTTTGAGCTATGGTGCTAGAAGAAGAGTAATGAATATACCATGGACTGCTAGAACAAACAGGTTCAACCAGGAGACGGTGAAACCAGGCTGCTCCTTGGAAGCAAGGATTCTGTGGCTCCATGTAACATATTTTGGGCCTGCTGCAAGGAGGGACCAATCCCTGGAGAGAAACATTATTATGCTTGAGAGGTTGGAGGGACAGTGCAGGAGGGGTAGACCCTCGATGAGATGGATTGACTCAGTGACTGGAGTAATGGGGGCAGGTGTGTAGGATACCGTAAGGTTGGCTCAGGATAGAGCAGGGTTCAGTGCTGTTGTACATAGGGTTGCAATGAGTTGCAGGCGATTCAATGGCACAAAACAACAACAACATGGAATAGTGGGTAAGGGGTTATGCTGACAACCAAAGATACGCAGTTCAAATCCACCAGCGCTCTGCAGGAGAAAGATGGGCAATCCCCTCTTGTGTGATTTACAGCCTCTGAAAACCCACTAGAGAGTCAGCTATGAGTTGGTTCCAACTCAATGACAATGAACAACAACAAAATGAGGATAAAGGGATATACTGATACCACCATGAGAAGTCCCAGTCACATCCAGAACAGTGCTAAATCTACAAGGCAAATAACACAGCCCTTTCAAGAAAAAGCAAAAGATACAAGAGGAGAAAAGCAACATATCTTGATCCATGACAAGAGAGGCTTTTGAGACCTAACCACCTGTGCGTAGTGGAGATGTTCAATTGCAATCAAAGTCATTTTCGCAACAAAATGGGAAAACAGAAAGAGGACTGGACACTAGAAGATACTAAGTAAATACTGGCAATTTGTAAGATATGGCTATGGTGATATGGTTACAGGTATATTTGAAACAATTAAGATTTGCTCTGACTCACAGTGACTCCATGAACAAGAGAGCAACACTTTGCCTCTCCTGTACCATCTTCACCATCTCCACCACGCGCAAGCCCACTGCTGCAGTCAGCACACCAATTCATCCCATTAAGGTTCTTTCTCTCGCTCCCTGACCTTCACCAGTGCAATATCTTTGTTCTGAGAACTGATCTCTCCTGACAACATGCCTAACATAATTGACCAAGTTTCACCATCTTTGCCTCTTAAAATGCACTCTGAATGCACTTCTTCCAAGACATATTTGTTCTTTTAGCAGTTTATGGGCTATTTAATAATTTTTTGCAATGATCCACTTCCTAAATAACTTGCCTCTTTTAACTTTGATAATGGTTGATAGTTGTAGAGGGGCTTCAGGCCTTTTGTTCACTGGGTCACTGAGTTGTGTTCGACTCAAAGGCAATCAACAACATCAAGAACAATTTAAAGATATCAATTCTTCTGTCATCCTTATTCACTGTCCAATTTTCAGATGCATACAAAGCAACTGAAAATACCATGGCATAGAATAGGCATACCATAGTCTTTACAGAGATATCGTTCTTTAGGACTCTGGAAAGGTCTTTGACGGAAATCTACAGAAATTCTCAATTTCGACATCTTTGGCTTTAGTAGTTGGCACGTGTATTTGAGTGATAGTTGTATTAACAGGTCTTCATTACATAAGTATCACTGACAGCATCATTCTTTGGACAGATCTTGAAATGTTCTTTCTGACAATGAATAGAATACTGTATCCTTCTATTTGTCATTCTTGGCATAGGAGATCATATGCCTGTCTAGTGATTAAAATGGCCAGTATCAGTCCATCTGAACTCACTGATGTCTAGGATGTCAATCTCTATGTATTCTATTTCATTTCTGACAACTTCTCATTTCCTTCGTACATTCCATGTTCCAGTGATTAATGGCTTAACGGTAGCTGTTTCTTCTCATTTTGAGTCTTGCCATATCAGCAAAAGAAGGTCCCTCATTGGGTGAAAGCTTTATTTTAAGCTTAGTGGTAAGGAATTATGCTGCCAACCTGTTGTGGAATGTTGGGGAGGAAGGAATGGTCTCTGGCCAGGACAGATTGCCTAAGCTCCAGATAAGTGAAAGCCTCCTAAAGGCCTTTAATACGGGGTAGAAAACGCTCTCCTGTGTTTGGCTGTACCGGCTTCAGAAAGCCCACCACTTGGGAAGACAACTGCCGCATTTGTTGAGCTCGGAGTAGTCCAGAGGAGGCTGAGGTTCTCCTAACCAATCCACATATCCCACATCTGTAAGCCTATCCTATCCTGTTTTCCTGTGTATGTAAGTGCAGTGCTTATCCCAATAAAATTGAGATGGATTGACTTTCTGATCCTCTCCCAGAGTGGTGTATCTCCATTGTACTTACTCCCTTCAGGGTGCTGCTGTAGCTTGCTGGCAAACAGACAGTGACACCAACCCAGAGGTATGAGGTTTGAATTCTCTAGCTGCTCCTTGGGAGAGAGATGGGCAATCTCTTCCTGTGCGATTTACTGCCTCAGAAAACCTGCTGAAGGGTCAGCAATAGTTGGTTCTGAGTTGATGGTACTCAGCAAACAACAATCTATATGATTAAGGCAGACTCTCCTTTCAGGAGGCTGCTCTTCCCTGGTTGCATTTTGCATGCTTGCCAACCTTGGGAGCTTACCATCTGGCAATGCTCAGAAGTTATTCACAGTGTTTTTTGAGAGCCTGTAATTTGGGAAGTGGATGGCTGGTCCTGCCTCTTGGACTAAGAACAGACTACACAGGTAACTGCTAACCCCGGTTATAGGGGCAGGGAGAAGTTAAAAAATAGTATAATTTACTCTACTTTGGGAACGTTTGCAGTTGGCCTAATATAATTTTAGAACTGTAGATTGGGTGGGAGGAGTGGAAAATTTTTTTCTGTAGCTTCAGGCATGTCCAGTTTCTTTAACACCCCTCCCTTCAACAGACAATGCCCAATTCCCTCCTTGTGGCTATGGGCTGGCTTGGAGATGTGACACTCTCATAGTGAGCAGTGTGTAGCTTCCAGGCCCAAGTCTTGCTCGGTTGTGCTGTCTTGTGGACCACTTGCTTGAGGAGAAGCCAGCTCCCACATCTATGTGGTGAGGAGCAGAGCTTGTCAGCATTGTGGGTGGGCCCCAGGGGCGCAGAGCCGTCAGATCGTGGACAAAACACTCTGAGACAGGCTGCCAGAGACGGAGTTCCGCCGCCAGAGACGGAGTTCCGCCACCAGAGACGGAGTTCCACCGCCAGACGGGCCGGGAAGAGACCCAGGAAGAGCAATAGTCAGCAGAACCCCAGAGGAGCGAAGACTACCCGCCACTGTGCGACCCCAACCCTGCAGCCCGCACCTGTGTGACCCCTGACCAGCAGCGCCCAAGCCCCGCCCCCACCTCTTGGTGGTAGTGTCCAAGGCCTGCGCTCCTTACCCCCCTAGTCCCTTGCTTCCATGCACCT